CAGAACTGTGCAAAACCTATAAAAATAATATAAATATAAAGTCAACTGATAAATACAGCATTCTGAGTTAATCAGCATCTAATCTTGTTTGAAACATTAATCTATGGAGAAAAGTGAAAGTTTTATCAATTTCTGTGAAAAAATTGCACAGAAAGAAAAATATTCACCACTATATTATGAACCATATTCTCTGTGGAGCCAGACATTAATATGTTGTACTTAATCAGGATCAGTAAATTACAAACGGAGACAGAAACAGAAATGGATCAGATCACGTTCAGATGCTTCAGCCGTGACGTCTGGGCAGAGGCGGATCGGATGGATGAAAGCAGGAATCAATCCTGCAGGGAATCGAAGGTTTTCCTAACGACCTCCTGGTCTGAATCACATCTTCTGTGCTGCAACATGAGCTTCATTTAGTGAAACTTTGTTCCCGTTAGAGTAAAATGGAAAGTGAAGCGCTGGCTTAGGGGCAGAGCTGACTCTAACTCACATGTTTGGTAAATTAGAGGCCATGTTTTAGATTTTCAACAAGAGTTTCACCATTTTACCTTCAATAAGGGAAACGATGTCGGACGTTTGTTCTCACACTCAATGCACCTCCTCACTGATAACCCTCTGAAGGTGCGTGATCCACCAACCTCCATCCTGATTGGCTAAACGGTTAAACTCTATGTTTGATGTAAACAAAAAAACGGTGACATGAGGCCAATCATTAAGAGAATTCCCCCCCAATAGCCAGGTAGACTCTGTCTGATTCAGGACCAAAAGTTTCAACATTTGTTATATTTCCATCTGCTGTGGTTGTTTCATTCTGCACCGAGTCAAATAAACCAAGCCCAAACCTGTTCCCCTCCTCGCCTGTGGGGGCGCTGCACCAAGAACCACTGAAGGAAATGACACAAAAATCTCAGAAGAAGAAACCGAGCGCAACTCCCTTCTTTACGAAATGTAAATAAAAATGGAGTTGTGTGAGATTTTAGTGGTTAGAAAATGTCTCATTTGTCTTTGGTAAAAAAAATTAAAAAAAAAGAACACAAGCTATTTCTCCCACTATCATTTAATTTGTTTACATTTACCCAGAATGCCCTGAGTTGCAGTCCACTTCCTGGTTTCTGGTCCACTTGCTGTTCACATTCGAAATGCTACAGAGTTCACTTCAACCGAACACAGACCGAGGTTT